ACATAAAAGTTTTACAGGAACAAAGTTTGCGTCAACTAAGGTTAAGTTTATGTTTGCTAAAGTGTTTGAGTTTACTAAAGCTGAAAACTCTGCATTCGAATGAACAATAGGCAAACCAGCAGAGAAAGTATTGTTTATACGCATAAGTATCTTTTGGTCATAATAGTTTCTGTCGATATTCGAATAACACTTTGAACCTAAGTTTGAAACAATATATAAAATAGGTGTACTTAAAGTCAATGGAACAGATAGACCTTGTATGACACCTTTTCCTGTTATAGGAAACTGTTGGTAGTAAAAACCAGATATAAGTTTTGTATTATAGCTCATATCGTTTATACTAAACTCAGTCGGACATCCAAACATAATGAAACCTGCTCTAGTTGCAGCACATGTTACATCCGTCCTTAAAGTATTAAATAAGTCAACAAAACCTGTTGGTGGTATATCTGAGTAAGTATCTTCAAAGGAGTATTTTTTACCATTCACAACAATAAAATCTTCTGGTGTCAAAAGAGCAAAACAGGCTTTAGTCGTCATTGTGTTTAAAGTTAGTTTACAATATCGTCCTTGAGGACTTTGTAAGTTTGTTGTTATAGAATTATATGACTCAGGGTTTTTAGTCGTAATAGTATAAACCATTGTGTCTTCTGCCATTTACTTAGCAAATAAATTTTAATGAAATGTTGTGGTCGTCAAATATTTTTATAACGTCTGGGAAACTATATTTTAAGTTCAACGTTTCACCTCCTTTCATAACGTATATCTTGTCAATGACATTATATGAAACACCACAGCAACTAACGTCGGGTTCTATTTCTTTGATGTTTATATCGTCTGCCTCTGTCAAAAGTTTCAATAGTTCTTTTTCAAAACTTCATGAGGTGCAATGACATATGAGTTCACTTTTACAGGGTTGTGTTCGACAAGTTTAACATTATACCCAAAGCTTGACAAATCTTCTCCTGAGTTTTAAGTTTGTCTTTAAGTTGTTGGTAGTCGTTTCGAATATCTGCAACAGAACTTAAGTCTCTGCTAACTTCAGGGTATGTTGGTTGTTCTTTTACAGGAACTATTGTTATACCATCTTCGTCCTCGTATGGTTTCCCCACTTCAACATCTCTTTCTTTGACATTGACAACAACACTTTGACTGTTTGTTGAGTTGGTGAATTTAACTTCACATCTGCCACCGCCATTAAACCTTTTGAACACTCACGCTTCTATTTTTCGGAAATGACATTTTACTTAGAATAAAAAGATGGACGTATTGAGTATCTCTTCGAATTGAAGCAGAACAAAGTTTACACACACAAACAATACAAATACATTGACAGAATAGTTCTTTATACAAACAATGGAAAATGTTATAGAATAGCAATATTTGCTGAACCAAAATATTTTCATAAAGCAAAGAAAGTTGGTATAACCGAGATGGTGAAAGTTCTTGAAGCAGACAAAAATATAACAACAAAACTGACCGATATTTCTAAAGGTAAGTTTATAATACAATACTATGTCAAAACTGGCGTACTGTCAATATTTGACGGAGAGAAGTCAGTTCAAGAACAACTTACTGACCTGCTGCCAAAATCTGCTCGATGGAAGCTGTCGTTATGCCAATCTGAGGAGCCCCAGCAGGTTTCATCGAACGAATCTTCAAAAGAGCATCTTCCGTGAAAAGTGCTATTGGTTTTTGTAAACTTCTTTGCTCTCAGTTCATCTGGACCGTCTCTGTCACCAGTATATTGTATTTGAACTGTACCAACAGTTGAAATACCACCCATAAAGTCTTCTGAGTCAGCAAATGGAATGCCAAGCCAAAAGTTTGAACGGTCTCCATTTGTATATTGAGTTTTTTTGACCTCCTGTATGAGTCCATACTTTCACATATGGCATAATAGAACTTTGCATTTCAGGGTTAATGGTTGTTGTGAAGTTGTTGTTAAAGTTCATAGCATCTAATGTCAAGTTGTATGACCTCATATCTTCAACTGTAGAATATTCTTCTCTTGGATAATATTTGCCATCTATGTTTATATGGTATTTAATACCAGGGTTGTAGAAGCAAGAATAGTCATTTATAGTTCGTCCTGAACAGTACAAACATAGTATCTGCATGTTTCATTGCAGTTGTTAAAGCAATATCTGTTCTTGCACCTGGGTCAGCACTTTGGTTTCCAACTTCACCTGCAAAGTCTTTGACAGATATTGGTGTATAGGGAACATAAGTGGAACTGCAATATATTTGGCAGCTAAAGCATTTGAAATATCTGGGTCCAACATATAAACGGCAAGTCTGCTTTCTATTCTCTTGCATTCAAACTGTTCGCATGTGAACTTAACTGGGTCCCAAGCAGTTCCAGCAGCATTGAAATAATAGTTTACTTCAGTGTTGAAGTTTGAGAAACCAAAGTCTAAGTCAACTTTGTCTTTGCAAAAGTCGGCGAATGACGTTTGATTTGCTCCCTTTACGTCTGTAAGAGTGAATGGGTCTTGCGTTGGTGCAATGACTAAGTTATTTTTGCTTGGAGTAAGTTCAATAGAAATTTTTCCTGCCCAGTTTGGCAAGTATCTTAAAAACCTGAAGATGAGGAAAGATGACAAAGGAACTCTAAGTTTCAGTTTTACTTTGGTTACTGCTGCTGCAGTTTGTCCAGAAAGGTTAACATAAACTCCTGGAACGTTAGGGTCAAGTCTTCTTATTTTCTCAATATTTGCATACTGGTCTGTTTGTTCTCTAGCTTGTGGTTGTACTGAGTTTCTCAAAGCGAACCATTCATAGTTTGCCCATGTTACTGTTTGAACTAAGTCAGAGTTAGAATATATCTTATATCCCATGAAAACTTCTGGAGCATATTGGTATCCGACATAGAAAATTCCATTGCAACCTTTCTTGTCAGACAACTTGGCAGAAGGTTTTATTTTCAATGTCTTGTTCTACGTATAAGAAAGAGTTGTCAATAGAAATTATATGAAACCTGTCGCAAGCAATATCTACTGTTGTTGAAGAACCTTCTCCAAACTCACCTACGTTTCCATAAGAAACAGCAGTTGTATATTCGTAAGTTCCAGGAACTATTTCTGACCTTCTAATGGCATTGTCGCATTCGTTATACCATTCGGAAACATTTCCATTCATAGCATCCAAAACTGTTGGCGTTATATTCTGAGCGGCGTACATTTCATATGAGTAAAAATATAGAATAGTTGGATTTATATGTCATAATAGAACCCACGTGGACCAAGCTTTACTTTCTTCCTGACTGAGTTTTTAACTCTTCTTTTTCCTTCATTGCCCTCTGCTTGAAGTTGTTGCATCTTTGCATTATGTTCATCTAGTATGTTGCAAATTTCCCATGTCCTTTTTGCCTTTTGGCTCTGGTCGCCCATCTCAGGTAACCTATATCCTAGAAAGAGTTTGTCATAGTCTGTATTTGAGTCTTCGCGTATTGTTTGCATGACTCTTTCCTGAGTTTCCGGTTCAAGCTCTTCAAACAGTGCCTGTCCATATGGAATATGCTCGTTTCCAAATATATGTTTTTGTAGCCATTCTGGTTTTCTTTCCATGTTACCAACTATATCTTTTGTGAATGGGAAAGCTTTTACCCAATCTTTCAGTCTTTCGTCATTTATTTCTGTAGTTGGTTTTATTTTGTCAAGGAACATGTTTTTCAATACTAACATTTCATTTGGTACTGTCCATTTGAGTTTTCTTAAATATTCATCCCTTCTCGGTTCATTGTCTGCAAAGTAAGTTTTTATGACATTTTGTAAACTTTCGTTTGCAAGGTCATGTACAATAGGTTCTCTTCCTTCTCTCCCTAACTTTCTTTCTAAACTCTTCACCAAATATACCATCTCTATGGTTCTGTGTAGTTCTTTGAGATAAATGTTCTAGAACGTCAGGTGTTATATTTCCATCAGCCATGTTCATTTCATACTGGTCCAAAATATCTGCATGTTTCATATCTTTCAATGGCATTAAAGCCGCGCTTAAAATACCAGCTATATCTTGTTCACCATTGACTTCCATTGCGTCTACAACTTCTTGGAATTGTGGTTGTAAGTTTATGAACCACCTATCCGGGTTAGCTTTATGACCCCATCTCATTGTAGTTCCATCGTCTGCAGAAACAAAAGTAGGTTTGTTTCCATCTTGGTTAGGTTCTGAATGAACTTTAAACAATGTTTCATTTCTATATGTTTTCTTGAAATTTAACCTTTTATTTTCACCGAGTTCATCCGAAGATTGAACGTTAAATGCTCGTAAGTAAAAAGGGTTGTTGTATTTGTGTACATTTTCTTTCAGTACTTTCATTCTATGCTGAATATTTTCATCTGGTGTTGGAGTCTTTTGTATGTCGGCAAACATTTTTCGATATTCTTCTACTATGTCAGCTGAATTTTTTTTTGACTCTTGGAAAGATTCCATATTCACCTCATGCTCTTGTTGAGGGTCAAGATTTTTCGGCTGTTCCAAATCTTCATCTAGTTCTGTGAAGTTAGTTTCCAAAGGAAGGACTTGTTCGTTTCCTTCAGGCTCTTCTAGCTGTTGTTGCTGAACTATTTCTTCCATGTCTGGTTGTATCTGAACTTCTTCCTGTGGAGTTTCTTGTACCTCATCTGCTGGCATTTCATATATTCCGAGACCGTTTTTAACAATTTCCCTATCTACGTCATCCGCATTCATAAGCTTTTGTTCTTTCGTTCCGTCTCTATTTTTTACGCGTTTCATGACGAAAGTTGAATTGTCATTTAGCTCTGACATCAAATATCTCGGAGTAAATTCATCCATGTCATTTGGATGATATGCTATTAAATCATATCCCTTAGCGAGCTTGTATTTTCCAGGTTTGAGATTATATCCGTTTTGGTGCTGAGCCATAAAGCTAAATAGGTTCGGGTCAGTATTTCCATCCTTGAACTTTCCAATAGCTTCTTTATATCTGTCACTAAAGTCAACAGTATCTGGGAAACCACACTCTTCTTTAAGCATTTTTAAGAATTCTTGGTTTCCTTGTTCTCTACTTCTTTTATGTCCTTGCTCTGTTTGTGGTTGTTGTTGTGCAGGGTTTTGAACTGTTGGTTGTGCTGGATTTTGAACTGTTGGTTGTTGTGTTGGTTGTTGTTGTTGTTGTTGTGCAGGGTTTTGAACTGTTGGTTGTTGTGTTGGTTTTGGTGCATGCCTGTGTCTGTGTCCATGTGACGATGTAAATGTTCTAGGTAGTCCTGGTGCAGGTGCTTCTCTTGGAGGGTTTGGTGGTATATAAGTTCCACCAGCTGGCACATATGTTCCATCTGCAGCGTAATGTCCTACCTGACTTTTCGTTTTTAAGAAAGCATTTACTAGGTCTGTTTTGGTCTGTTGTAACTCTTTTTCTTGACTTTTCACAACAGTTGCTCTAACGGCGTCATAGGCACTTTGAACTGCCTGTCTCGTTGCTGCATCTGTTATTTTCGTCATATTTTGTGCTACTTCTTTTAACTCTTTGTCGAAACCTTCAGACTTCAGTTTCTTTCCAGATGAGAAGTCGTTCACTTGTTTCACCTTACTATGAAGAGCTTCGAAGGCGTTCTTAAAGTCAGCATTTGTTAAAGCTTCATTTGAACTATCTTCATCCGCTTGTATTTTTGTCCTTATTGACCCTATGAGTTGGGCTGCTTTAGCGTTGGCTTGGGCATCTAACCAGTCATTGTTAGCTTTTATATATTCTGCGCTTTTCATTGCCTTTTGCATGGCTGCGTCGTTATTTTTACTTTCTTGTGCTAAGTTTTCATACTGTACGGTTTGGTTTTGCAACTGTAAAAGTTTTTCTGCCTTTACATTTGCTTCAACTTCTTTTTTATACTCATCGCTATCCATATATGTCTTCAGGGCTTTTTGTTTTATCTCTTCATCTTTCAGTATTTTATATTGAGTAGTATGGTTTTTCAAATTTATAACATCTTGTTCCATTTTTGCTACTTCTGCTGCTTTTTCTGACACTTTTTTCGCATATTCCTCTGTACTTAGTTCTTTCAGTTGTTCTTCTTTCTTCTTTTTCTCTACGTTTAACTCATTGAGTTTCTTTGTGTGTCTGTCATATTCTAGTTTCTTTTCGTTTTCACTTATTTGCTTCTGTATGTCTATGTTTGACTTTTTGACATCTGTTATTTGATTTTTGAGTGAACTCAAATTCATTTGACTTTGAGGGTTATAAGCTGTTCCGTCTGCAGCTCCACCATAGCCTGCCATTTTCGCTAAAAGTGCCGCTCTTAAACCTCCACTCTGTGCACCAACAACTCGGTTTAAAAGCATAGGGTTGCTTGACATTTGTTGCAACATAGTGGGGTCATTCATTATTTGTTGTTGCAACTGTTGTTGTGGTGTCAGTTTTACTATTGGATGTTTCAATGCTCTCTTCCTCTTACGTATATTCTTACGTAGCTTACGTGGCATTTTAAGTGAAGTTAAAAAGCGGCTTTTGACAGATGTTTATTGTGACTTCTTCGTAAAGACTTTGTTAAGACTTCTTCGTAAAGACTTTGTTGAGATTTCTTCGTAAAGACTTTGTTGAGATTTCTTCGTAAATGACCCAAAAATAATGTTTAGGTGAAGAGGTGAGATTTCACCTCTTTTTTCACCTCATTTCTCACCTCTTGAATTTTCATGAATTTCTTCGTAAAGACTTTGTTAAGACTTCTTCATCTAATTTCTCATGAACTTTCTTGTCTATGTTTTGTTGAGATTTCTTCGTAAAGACTTTGTCAAGATTTCATCGTAAAGACTTTGTTGAGATTTCTTCGTAAATGACCCTAGTAGTATATTTTTGGTGTAAATTTCATGAAAATTCAAGAGGGTGAAAAATTAGGTGAAAAAACAGGTGAAATCTCACCTCTTCACCTAAACATTATTTTTGGTGTAAATTTCATGAAAATTCAAGAGGTGAAAAATTAGGTGAAAAAACAGGTGAAATCTCACCTCTTCACCTAAACATTATTTTTGGTGTAAAATTCTGAGTAAAATGACAGATGGAACACATACTTTTTCAGTAAGTACATATGGGGTAGAAAAGAGGGTAGAAAACGGGGTAGATATACCCTTCTACCCTAAAATATATTTTTGTCTGATTTACGCTCATTACGATGAAGTTTTGACAAAGTCTTTACGAAGAAATCTTGACAAAGTCTTTACGAAGAAATCTTGACAAAGTCTTTACGATGAAGTTTTGACAAAGTCTTTACGATGAAGTTTTGACAAAGTCTTTACGATGAAATCTTGACAAAGTCTTTACGATGAAATCTTGACAAAGTCTTTACGATGAAATTCATGAAAATTCAAGAGGTGAAAAATGAGGTGAAAAAACAGGTGAAATCTCACCTCTTCACCTAAAATATATTTTTATTGAATTCTGTATAATATTCTGAGTAATATGACAGATGTTTATATAACACTTTCTCCGGTTTATAGGACCTCTCTCATATTCTATCTTGTCATATCAAAACTCATAGTCATGTTTGTCCTCTAAGACTTCATTTATACTAAACATCTTCAGGGCTAGAAGGCACGAAGTGCCTGGAAGCCCCACTTCCTTTTTTTTTTTTTTTTTTTTTTTTTTTTTTTTTTTTTTTTTTTTTTTTTTTTTTTTTTTTTTTTTTTTTTTTTTTTTTTTTTTGTTTGAATCTCTCTCTAATGGAATTATTCAAAACTATATGTAACCATTTTGTTAACCGCATATTAACAGATCTCAAACTCATAAGTTTTTAAATCAGAGTCATTTTAAAACGCATAATTTATATACATGAGCGAATAAAGAATTGTAAAAGAAAAAAAATTAATATATAAAATGTAATAAACAGAAATTCATCAAAAGTGACAGCTCGCAGTTTTTTGACATTTGTAAATTCTAAATTGAATGAGAAAAATGAAATAATACTAAGTATAATACAATATTCTAGATTTAATTATAATTAGGAAAAAGTTAGTTTTGAGAGTACTTTTCATAGGCATATAGAATGAAATCTTCTGAAAAATAATATCACATAAACTCATATTATTTTCTAATATATAACTATTTTATATAAAAATCAAATTCAATGATCTTAAAAGCGAAGGATAAACCTCAAAATTTACGAATATAATGAGTGGGAATATAATGCTTATCTATCATAAAACCATATGAAATATCAATTTTTGCTTTACGCCTAATTTTTGACGACAATTAGCAAAAAATGTTAAATGTTAACACTCAGTCCATTTGAATATGAAAAATAAAATTGACTTTGATTAAATGTTTTATTTATCATGCAATTCTTCTTGCGACCAAAGATTTGAATAAAATTTCAAAAAATAAGATAGCTTAAAAAATAATATACGGTAGTGTTTACTAATAGATGAATAGTATATAAATTCTATTAAAATGGATTTGATCCAAAAAAATATAAAACCAAAAATAATTGTTATTTAATTTAAATGAAGAAGTAATTTAAAACGATTTTATTTATGATCAAATTTTATATATTTTTTTGGATCAAATCCATTTTAATAGAATTTATATACTATTCATCTATTAGTAAACACTACCGTATATTATTTTTTAAGCTATCTTATTTTTTGAAATTTTATTCAAATCTTTGGTCGCAAGAAGAATTGCATGATAAATAAACATTTAATCAAAGTCAATTTTATTTTTCATATTCAAATGGACTGAGTGTTAACATTTAACATTTTTTGCTAATTGTCGTCAAAAATTAGGCGTAAAGCAAAAATTGATATTTCATATGGTTTTATGATAGATAAGCATTATATTCCACTCATTATATTCGTAAATTTTGAGGTTTATCCTTCGCTTTTAAGATCATTGAATTTGATTTTTATATAAAATAGTTATATATTAGAAAATAATATGAGTTTATGTGATATTATTTTTCAGAAGATTTTGTGTTCTTCTTCAAAATTTTATTTTTTATTAAAAAGAATCTTTACAAAATATACATTTACTTTAATTAATATTTAAAAACGTGCTCTATCAAAAGTTCCAAAAATTCAATATTTTAGCTTTTCTGAAGTGTCACTTTTGATGAATTTCTGTTTACAACAAAAAAAAAAACAAGTATAGTCTGGAAATATGAGTCTTTATTATTATAAATAAATAAATGAAAAATAAGGGGACCCTCTCTTGAACCTTTGCCTTTACGAAATTCAACTTGACAGTCTTGCCTTGTTTGAATTAAGGATTTCTTTCCAATTATTACTGGATGCATAATGAAGAGGGGTACATCCATCTTTATCTTTAGCATTGATATCTGCACCATTTGAAATAAGAATTTCTGCGGTTTCTTTGCTATTTTCTCTGGCTGCTAGATGAAGAGGGGTAAATCCGATTTCAGTTTTAGCATTGATATCTGCACCATTTGAAATAAGAATTTCTGCGGTTTCTTTGCTATTTTCTCTGGCTGCTAGATGAAGAGGGGTAAATCCGATTTCAGTTTTAGCATTGATATCAGCACCATTTGAAATAAGAATTTCTGCGGTTTCTTTGCTATTATTCCTGGCTGCATAATGAAGAGGGGTAAATCCATCTTTATCTTTAGCATTGATATCTGCACCATTTGAAATAAGAATTTCTGCAATTTCTTTCCAATTATTACTGGCTGTATAATGAAGAGGGGTACATCCATATTTGTCTTTAGCATTGATATCTGCACCATTTGAAATAAGAATTTCTGCAGTTTCTTTCCAATTATTACTGGCTGTATAATGAAGAGGGGTACATCCATATTTGTCTTTAGCATTGATATCTGCACCATTTGAAATAAAATATTCTAAAAGTGATGAAAGATGGAAATTAGGAGAATAAACAAAACATGTGTTGATATCATTTGTTTGATCTAAGTAAACTAAAAATGATTGAAGATTATTGTATTTAGAGCACAATTCTAAATCAATTTTTATATTGTGTTTATTCATCAAAAATGTGACAAAATCGATATTGTGTGATATTATTGCATATTTCATGCATTCATAATCTGGTTTTTGTACTTTCAAGCATTCATTCATAATAGCTTGATTTCCACCCAAAAAAGAATATCTAAGACAATCTGGAGTGATTTCTGATTGAAATTTCGTTATTAAGATCTTAAAACAATCAACAGATCCATGATAACAACATAATTCAAGTAACGAAATACCTCTTGAATATGGATATAAATCACTTTTTAATTTTTGATTTTTATCAAATCCTTCTCTTTCTGTAAAATTTATAAATGATATTTTGTCATCATACATAATAGATCTGTGAATTGTATTTTGTTCGTGAATATCAGATGAATAATGAGAATCTTCAAATTCGTTAAAAAAAATTCTCCCATTTTCATTCAAGACTATATTGTATTCTTTGTAGAAAAGGTAATTAAAAACGTCGTTGATTTTGTTGACCTGATTTAGATGGAATTCGTCAAACAATTTGTTTGACAACCGCTAAATATGACTTCATGAAGCAGTTGTTATAAATTGAAAGTTGAGATATTTATTGATAATCTCACTAGGCGAATTTCGATAAGAGTCAATCAGGTTTGTTTGATTTTGTTGTAAATTGCGTTTAATTTTTCTTCGTCATTTGTTTTCAGCCGGTACAAAGCATCAGAGGATCATTATTAATCCTGTAAAAATCTCCATCAATTTGTCATAATGGGCTTGGTGAGTTTCTCCCTTGGACATCAAACAAAAATTTCAAAAAAAAACTAGTCAAATGTGAACTCAAAAAATGACTAATTTTTTAAAAAAAATAGCACGATGCATTAAAGAAATGAAAAATATTGATTTAATTGGTCAATAATTTTTGAATTTATAGATCGTAATTTTCGATAAATTTCTCAAAACTCGATACACATTTTTACCATCAGATTTTACGTGAGACTACCTTTCTCGATACACATTTTTACCGAAAGGTAGGTCCACAAAAAAATACACGTTATTCGCAAGGAAAAAAAAATTCTCATGAACAACTTCAAGCGGATTTTCCTCAGTAATAAAACTCCAAACTTCTCTTAATTGTGGAGAGAAATTGAAGTTTTCTTCATGCATAGTAGTCTAGTACTTTGTATTTACAAAAATGTCAGAAACAGTGTTGACATATATGCAATTTAAAATCGATGTCATTTATACTTAATAAGAATATATCCAATCGTTCTATTCTTTCAAAATATAAAGCTCTACTTAGGAAATTGTATAGCTTAAAATTTAATAATCTGCCCCGATACATATTTTTTTTTTGAAATACCGAGAAAAATCAGAGACATTAATTAGGAAAATATATAATAGTATTAAGTACATATTACTGATATGGGTTTAACTTGTTCTCATTTATTGGACAAGCATATCATGTGATTTATTGATCTGCAGTGCGAAGATATATATTTGATCAAATATAATTTGGGGCCTCAGGTGGCGTACTTGCCCTTCGGGCAAGTACGCCACCTTCGGCCAAATTAAATAATTTTTTGAAAAAATTGAATTATACACTATTTAGTTGGCGCAAAGCGGCAAACAAATAATGAAGAATACTAATATATGTTTACTTAAAATATGATTAAAATTTCTGAACGAAAACTATCAAAATTAAGTCATAGAAAATATAAATATAGGATGCTAATTTACTGTAAATTCATAATGTCAAAAGTTACTGTGTTGTCCTCTATATATACACTGTCTTAATTCTATCAGCGCTTCGCGCCGATAGAATTAAATGACAATTACTCAAAAATATATTTGAACACAAATTACATACAAACTGTACTAATACATCTTTTTTCCTATTGATGTTTCTTTGAACAGACCCGTTTTGGAAATGAATGAAAATTAAGCTTTACCAATATATGTATCATTTTGTTTAACATATTATGACTTATATATCTGAATCGTTTCAAAAAATATTCATATTTTTTATGCTTGATAAAAATAACATTTATCTTTTTCCTGAAACAATCCAGACAAATCCATATTTATTCTTTGGAAAAGCCGTTCAAGCAACTCAAGAACCTTTTGTTATCAATGGATATAAGCTCTATTGCTTAATTGATAAATTAGAAACTCCAGAATTCCCATATACGCTTGTACCTGTACAAAAAAATGGTGCATCTGTGAATTTCTACCAGTATCATTTCCCTTCTGGCACTCCTGACTTTAAAAAACTTGGTTTTGATTCAACAATTACATCCAACGGAACAATTTTATATATGACGCAAGAAAATCTTGTTAAAATCACGACGCAGTCACGATATGTAACAGTTAAAGAAGGAAATTGGCAACTTGTTTCAAAAGAATTTTATGAACTTGTTGCTTTTTATCATCTTGACATAATTCCGCAGCTTTCTCTAAACTTGTTTAAGTCATTACAAGATATTGACAAACTTTCACAGCTTTACCACAAAAAATATGATATTGATTCTGCTCATGTTGTATCATTGGCATCACTTTACAACGAGCTTAACTCTCTTTTACTATTTTTCGGATATACAAACAAAAATGTTATCTTTTCTGATCATTATTTCCTATTTTCTTCATTAAGACTTCAATTTCGTCAATTTGTCAATGATTGTTTTAGTACCATTTACATGAGTGATTGCGCAATTACGCCTTCTGCTGTCAAACAAATAAGAGCTTTGTTCAGATTTGTTAGATTAGCGTTAGGAAAACTCGGATACGAAGACACTCAGTCCGAAAACATTTATCACTCAGTTACAGCTACTGTTAACAAATTCCAAAGGGATTACGGCCTTCCTGAAAGTCCATGCGATGCAAATACGATAAGAATGATATTAACCCAACTTTTACTGAAAGGAACAGACCCTGTAAATATTTTGGCCTCATGCGGAGTTAACATTGCCATAGAAAACTCTTTAGATCAAAAATTTGGTCCAATTGATTTAAGAAACCTCGATGATGTCGCAAAACGATTCGCAACAGGTATATCAAGAGCTGTTGCACCATTGCCAGCTCCTTCTTCAGCTGTTGCCGAAGTTGAAAAAGAATTATTATCTGTTGCGAAAAGTGGAGCCGACGGACTTGATCCTGTGAATAGATCTGCAGAGATACTTGGTGCCAGACTCAGTGGAATTAAGAGATATGCGGCAGATGTCAGTTCTGAAACAAAAACTTGCCTTCAAAGGGCAGATGAAGCAGAACAAGGCTTGGAAAACCTCCAAAAGATTAATAATGATATAGAAAAGACAATGCAGGATATGGAAGAAAGATTGAAACAACAAAATTCTTCCGGAAATTGGCTTGTCATCGGATTCATCTTGCTTGTATTTATTTTTATTATTCAGCAACTGAAACGTTCAGGTGCTGCAAGAGCGATGCAGCAAAAAGAATAAATGTTTGATATTTTTTTTTCCAATAAATGAGAACAAGTTAAACCCATATCAGTAATATGTACTAAATGCTATTATATATTTTCCTAATTAAAGTCTCTGAATTTGAAAAAAAAATGTGTATCGAAAAAGGTAGTCTCACGAAAAATCTGACTGTAAAAATGTGTATCGAGTTTTGAGAAATTTATCGAAAATTACGACATCTAAAATTCAAAATTATGACCAATTAAATCAATATTTTCATTTCTTATATGCATCGTGCTATTTTTTTAAAAAAATTAGTCATTTTTTGAGTTCACATTTGACTAGTTTTTTTTGAAAATTTTTGTTTGATGTCCAAGGGAGAAACTCACCAAGCCCATTATGACAAATTGATGGAGATTTTTACAGGATATAATGATGCCTCTGATGCTTTGTACCGGCTGAAAACAAATGACGAAGAAAAATTAAACGCAATTTACAACAAAATCAAACAAAACCTGATTGACTCTAATCCTCTCCGCCTGTGAGATCAATAAAATAAATATCTCAACTTTCAATTTATAACAACTGCTTCATGAAGTCATATTTAGCGGTTGTCAAACAAATTGTTGACGAATTCCATCTAAATCAGGTCAACAAAATCAACGACGTTTTTAATTACCTTTTCTACAAAGAATACAATATAGTCTTGAATGAAAATGGGAGAATTTTTTTTAACGAATTTGAAGATTCTCATTATTCATCTGATATTCACGAACAAAATACAATTCACAGATCTATTATGTATGATGACAAAATATCATTTATAATTTTTACAGAAAGCGAAGGATTTGATAAAAATCAAAAATTAAAAAGTGATTTATATCCATATTCAAGAGGTATTTCGTTACTTGAATTATGTTGTTATCATGGATCTGTTGATTGTTTTAAGATCTTAATAACGAAATTTCAATCAGAAATCACTCCAGATTGTCTTAGATATTCTTTTTTGGGTGGAAATCAAGCTATTATGAATGAATGCTTGAAAGTACAAAAACCAGATTATGAATGCATGAAATATGCAATAATATCACACAATATCGATTTTGTCACATTTTTGATGAATGAACACAATATAAAAATTGATTTAGAATTGTGCTCTAAATACAATAATCTTCAATCATTTTTAGTTTACTTAGATCAAACAAATGATATCAACACATGTTTTGTTTATTCTCCTAATTTCCATCTTTCATCACTTTTAGAATATTTTATTTCAAATGGTGCAGATATCAATGCTAAAACTGAAATCGGATGTACCCCTCTTCATCTAGCAGCCATTAAAAATAGCAAAGAAGCTGCAGAAATTCTTATTTCAAATGGTGCAGATATCAATGCTAAAGATAAAGATGGATGTACCCCTCTTCATTATACAGCCAGTAATAATTGGAAAGAAATTGCAGAAATTCTTATTTCAAATGGTGCAGATATCAATGCTAAAAACAAATATGGATGTACCCCTCTTCATTATACAGCCAGTAATAATTGGAAAGAAATTGCAGAAATTCTTATTTCAAATGGTGCAGATATCAATGCTAAAGATAAAGATGGATTTACCCCTCTTCATTATGCAGCCAGGAATAATAGCAAAGAAACCGCAGAAATTCTTATTTCAAATGGTGCTGATATCAATGCTAAAACTGAAATCGGATTTACCCCTCTTCATCTAGCAGCCAGAGAAAATAGCAAAGAAACCGCAGAAATTCTTATTTCAAATGGTGCAGATATCAATGCTAAAGATAAAGATGGATTTACCCCTCTTCATTATGCAGCCAGGAATAATAGCAAAGAAACCGCAGAAATTCTTATTTCAAATGGTGCAGATATCAATGCTAAAGACGAAGATAGATGTACCCCTCTTCATTATGCAGCCAGTAATATATGGAAAGAAACTGCAGAAATTCTTATTTCAAATGGTGCAGATATCAATGCTAAAAACAAATATGGATTTACCCCTCTTCATTATGCAGCCAGTAATATATGGAAAGGAATCGCAGAAATTCTTATTTCAAATGGTGCAGATATCAATGCTAAAACTGAAATCGGATGTACCCCTCTTCATCTAGCAGCCATTAAAAATAGCAAAGAAGCTGCAGAAATTCTTATTTCAAATGGTGCAGATATCAATGCTAAAGATAAAGATGGATGTACCCCTCTTCATTATGCAGCCGGGAATACTAAGAAAGAAACCGCAGAAATTCTTATTTCAAATGGTGCTGATATCAATGCTAAAAACAAAGATGGATGTACCCCTCTTTATTATGCAGCCATTAAAAATAGCAAAGAAATTACAGAAATTCTTATTTCAAATGGTGGGGTTATCAGTGGCTTCTAAAAAAATCCCAAAAACGATTATTGTGAATTGAATTTGGGAATTTTTTGGGATACCCTTATTTAGGGGATGGTAACGATTATTTCAGCATATAAAACATGCATTTGATATATTTTGATAATAAAATCTATTTATACATAGTTTAAAAATAGTTATACAAGCATTTAGATGTTCTTATTTCCCATTTTGAATGAAATTGAGAATTGAATTTCTTATAAAATAGCTTTATGAGCATTTTTATATAATGGTGATATGTGTCTTAAACATTGGAAACATAAGAATTAGGTATACATATGTATTATCGATAATGTAGGAAATACAGATATTTCAAAACCGAAGAAAATGCGGTTCTATATATGTAAAATGATTGCAATAGTTTTGGTGACATAATGTAAATATAATAAATTATATTGGTAATCTTAAATCATAAAGCATTAAATCAAATTGAAATCTCATTTTAGAAAAATATATAGAATTTGATGAATTATATATTTACAAAGTTTTATATTATGCATAGATAAGATAGTGATATGATAATAAGCAATTTCTTTCGAACATTAAAAATTTGATGTAGAAATAAGGATATTTGAAATTGATATTATAATATATAGATGTCTATAATATATGCATAGCTTATATTAAGGATTTGACGTGAAAATCCTCATTTAAACTGCTGAAAAAATGAATCTGAAAACAAAATAAAATTGAATATCTTTTCAATTTTGATATATGAATAAAAATGTTTAAAATAATAAAATTCGATATGAAATAATAATTTTTGTGATTTTGACGTAAATTTGAATTGAGAAGGGGGTATCAAAAAATTGATTTTAAAATTGAGTGGAGAAAAAATAAAACTCTGAAACACGAACTGAATTAAATTAAATGCAATATTTTAATATTAATAAAATATTATTTAAAAAAAATATCTCTCAAAACTCAAAAGTGTCATTTCTCATGGATGGCCATCATCAGCTATTCACTTGCTGATAAGGATACTGTGCATAGCATGATCCTGCCAAGATTTGATGCTGCACTATCCTTATCAGCAAATGATTTCTGCATCAAATCTCAATTTAATCTTTCATGAGTGGCCTGCAGATCAGAAGCGCAATGCTTATACAGTCTAGATACTATGCCATAGCATGTAGACTGTATAAGCATTGCGCTTCTGATCTGCAGGCCACTCATGAAAGATTAAATTGAGATTTGATGCAGAAATCATTTGCTGATAAGGATAGTGCAGCATCAAATCTTGGCAGGATCATGCTATGCACAGTATCCTTATCAGCAAGTGAATAGCTGATGATGGCCATCCATGAGAAATGACACTTTTGAGTTTTGAGAGATTTTTTTTAAATAATATTTTATTAATATTAAAATATTGCATTTAATTTAATTCAGTTCGTGTTTCAGAGTTTTATTTTTTCTCCACTCAATTTTAAAATCAATTTTTTGATACCCCCTTCTCAATTCAAATTTACGTCAAAATCACAAAAATTATTATTTCATATCGAATTTTATTATTTTAAACATTTTTATTCATATATCAAAATTGAAAAGATATTCAATTTTATTTTGTTTTCAGATTCATTTTTTCAGCAGTTTAAATGAGGATTTTCACGTCAAATCCTTAATATAAGCTATGCATATATTATAGACATCTATATATTATAATATCAATTTCAAATATCCTTATTTCTACATCAAATTTTTAATGTTCGAAAGAAATTGCTTATTATCATATCACTATCTTATCTATGCATAATATAAAACTTTGTAAATATATAATTCATCAAATTCTATATATTTTTCTAAAATGAGATTTCAATTTGATTTAATGCTTTATGATTTAAGATTACCAATATAATTTATTATATTTACATTATGTCACCAAAACTATTGCAATCATTTTACATATATAGAACCGCATTTTCTTCGGTTTTGAAATATCTGTATTTCCTACATTATCGATAATACATATGTATACCTAATTCTTATGTTTCCAATGTTTAAGACACATATCACCATTATATAAAAATGCTCATAAAGCTATTTTATAAGAAATTCAATTCTCAATTTCATTCAAAATGGGAAATAAGAACATCTAAATGCTTGTATAACTATTTTTAAACTATGTATAAATAGATTTTATTATCAAAATATATCAAATGCATGTTTTATATGCTGAAATAATCGTTACCATCCCCTAAATAAGGGTATCCCAAAAAATTCCCAAATTCAATTCACAATAATCGTTTTTGGGATTTTTTTAGAAGCCACTGATAACCCCACCATTTGAAATAAGAATTTCTGTAATTTCTTTGCTATTTTTAATGGCTGCATAATAAAGAGGGGTACATCCATCTTTGTTTTTAGCATTGATATCAGCACCATTTGAAATAAGAATTTCTGCGGTTTCTTTCTTAGTATTCCCGGCTGCATAATGAAGAGGGGTACATCCATCTTTATCTTTAGCATTGATATCTGCACCATTTGAAATAAGAATTTCTGCAGCTTCTTTGCTATTTTTAATGGCTGCTAGATGAAGAGGGTACATCCGATTTCAGTTTTAGCATTGATATCTGCACCATTTGAAATAAGAATTTCTGCGATTCCTTTCCATATATTACTGGCTGCATAATGAAGAGGGGTAAATCCATATTTGTTTTTAGCATTGATATCTGCACCATTTGAAATAAGAATTTCTGCAATTTCTTTCCATATATTACTGGCTGCATAATGAAGAGGGGTACATCTATCTTCGTCTTTAGCATTGATATCTGCACCATTTGAAATAAGAATTTCTGCGATTCCTTTCCATATATTACTGGCTGCATAATGAAGAGGGGTAAATCCATATTTGTCTTTAGCATTGATATCTGCACCATTTGAAATAAGAATTTCTGCAATTTCTTTCCAATTATTACTGGCTGTATAATGAAGAGGGGTACATCCATATTTGTTTTTAGCATTGATATCTGCACCATTTGAAATAAGAATTTCTGCGGTTTCTTTACTATTATTACTGGCTGTATAATGAAGAGGGGTACATCCATATTTGCCTTCAGCATTGATATCTGCACCATTTGAAATAAGAATTTCTGCAATTTCTTTCCAATTATTACTGGCTGTATAATGAAGAGGGGTACATCCATATTTGTCTTTAGCATTGATATCTGCACCATTTGAAATAAAATATTCTAAAAGTGATGAAAGATGGAAATTAGGAGAATAAACAAAACATGTGTTGATATCATTTGTTTGATCTAAGTAAACTAAAAATGATTGAAGATTATTGTATTTAGAGCACAATTCTAAATCAATTTTTATATTGTGTTCATTCATCAAAAATGTGACAAAATCGATATTGTGTGATATTATTGCATATTTCATGCATTCATAATCTGGTTTTTGTACTTTCAAGCATTCATTCATAATAGCTTGATTTCCACCCAAAAAAGAATATCTAAGACAATCTGGAGTGATTTCTGATTGAAATTTCGTTATTAAGATCTTAAAACAATCAACAGATCCATGATAACAACATAATTCAAGTAACGAAATACCTCTTGAATATGGATATAAATCACTTTTTAATTTTTGATTTTTATCAAATCCTTCGCTTTCTGTAAAAATTATAAATGATATTTTGTCATCATACATAATAGATCTGTGAATTGTATTTTGTTCGTGAATATCAGATGAATAATGAGAATCTTCAAATTCGTTAAAAAAAATTCTCCCATTTTCATTCAAGACTATATTGTATTCTTTGTAGAAAAGGTAATTAAAAACGTCGTTGATTTTGTTGACCTGATTTAGATGGAATTCGTCAACAATTTGTTTGACAACCGCTAAATATGACTTCATGAAGCAGTTGTTATAAATTGAAAGTTGAGATATTTTATTGATAATCTCACCAGGCGGAATTCGATAAGAGTCAATCAGGTTTTGTTTGATTTTGTTGTAAATTGCGTTTAATTTTTCTTCGTCATTTGTTTTCAGCCGGTACAAAGCATCAGAGGCATCATTATATCCTGTAAAAATCTCCATCAATTTGTCATAATGGGCTTGGTGAGTTTCTCCCTTGGACATCAAACAAAAATTTTCAAAAAAAACTAGTCAAATGTGAACTCAAAAAATGACTAATTTTTTTAAAAAAATAGCACGATGCATATAAGAAATGAAAAATATTGATTTAATTGGTCATAATTTTGAATTTTAGATGTCGTAATTTTCGATAAATTTCTCAAAACTCGATACACATTTTTACAGTCAGATTTTTCGTGAGACTACCTTTTTCGATACACATTTTTTTTTCAAATTCAGAGACTTTAATTAGGAAAATATATAATAGCATTTAGTACATATTACTGATATGGGTTTAACTTGTTCTCATTTATTGGAAAAAAAAATATCAAACATTTATTCTTTTTGCTGCATCGCTCTTGCAGCACCTGAACGTTTCAGTTGCTGAATAATAAAAATAAATACAAGCAAGATGAATCCGATGACAAGCCAATTTCCGGAAGAATTTTGTTGTTTCAATCTTTCTTCCATATCCTGCATTGTCTTTTCTATATCATTATTAATCTTTTGGAGGTTTTCCAAGCCTTGTTCTGCTTCATCTGCCCTTTGAAGGCAAGTTTTTGTTTCAGAACTGACATCTGCCGCATATCTCTTAATTCCACTGAGTCTGGCACCAAGTATCTCTGCAGATCTATTCACAGGATCAAGTCCGTCGGCTCCACTTTTCGCAACAGATAATAATTCTTTTTCAACTTCGGCAACAGCTGAAGAAGGAGCTGGCAATGGTGCAACAGCTCTTGATATACCTGTTGCGAATCGTTTTGCGACATCATCGAGGTTTCTTAAATCAATTGGACCAAATTTTTGATCTAAAGAGTTTTCTATGGCAATGTTAACTCCGCATGAGGCCAAAATATTTACAGGGTCTGTTCCTTTCAGTAAAAGTTGGGTTAATATCATTCTTATCGTATTTGCATCGCATGGACTTTCAGGAAGGCCGTAATCCCTTTGGAATTTGTTAACAGTAGCTGTAACTGAGTGATAAATGTTTTCGGACTGAGTGTCTTCGTATCCGAGTTTTCCTAACGCTAATCTAACAAATCTGAACAAAGCTCTTATTTGTTTGACAGCAGAAGGCGTAATTGCGCAATCACTCATGTAAATGGTACTAAAACAATCATTGACAAATTGACGAAATTGAAGTCTTAATGAAGAAAATAGGAAATAATGATCAGAAAGATAACATTTTTGTTTGTATATCCGAAAAATAGTAAAAGAGAGTTAAGCTCGTTGTAAAGTGATGCCAATGATACAACATGAGCAGAATCAATATCATATTTTTTGTGGTAAAGCTGTGAAAGTTTGTCAATATCTTGTAATGACTTAAACAAGTTTAGAGAAAGCTGCGGAATTATGTCAAGATGATAAAAAGCAACAAGTTCATAAAATTCTTTTGAAACAAGTTGCCAATTTCCTTCTTTAACTGTTACATATCGTGACTGCGTCGTGATTTTAACAAGATTTTCTTGCGTCATATATAAAATTGTTCCGTTGGATGTAATTGTTGAATCAAAACCAAGTTTTTTAAAGTCAGGAGTGCCAGAAGGGAAATGATACTGGTAGAAATTCACAGATGCACCATTTTTTTGTACAGGTACAAGCGTATATGGGAATTCTGGAGTTTCTAATTTATCAATTAAGCAATAGAGCTTATATCCATTGATAACAAAAGGTTCTTGAGTTGCTTGAACGGCTTTTCCAAAGAATAAATATGGATTTGTCTGGATTGTTTCAGGAAAAAGATAAATGTTATTTTTATCAAGCATAAAAAATATGAATATTTTTTGAAACGATTCAGATATATAAGTCATAATATGTTAAACAAAATGATACATATATTGGTAAAGCTTAATTTTCATTCATTTCCAAAACGGGTCTGTTCAAAGAAACATCAATAGGAAAAAAGATGTATTAGTACAGTTTGTATGTAATTTGTGTTCAAATATATTTTTGAGTAATTGTCATTTAATTCTATCGGCGCGAAGCGCTGATAGAATTAAGACAGTGTATATATAGAGGACAACACAGTAACTTTTGACATTATGAATTTACAGTAAATTAGCATCCTATATTTATATTTTCTATGACTTAATTTTGATAGTTTTCGTTCAGAAATTTTAATCATATTTTAAGTAAACATATATTAGTATTCTTCATTATTTGTTTGCCGCTTTGCGCCAACTAAATAGTGTATAATTCAATTTTTTCAAAAAATTATTTAATTTGGCCGAAGGTGGCGTACTTGCCCGAAGGGCAAGTACGCCACCTGAGGCCCCAAATTATATTTGATCAAATATATATCTTCGCACTGCAGATCAATAAATCACATGATATGCTTGTCCAATAAATGAGAACAAGTTAAACCCATATCAGTAATATGTACTTAATACTATTATATATTTTCCTAATTAATGTCTCTGATTTTTCTCGGTATTTCAAAAAAAAATATGTATCGGGGCAGATTATTAAATTTTAAGCTATACAATTTCCTAAGTAGAGCTTTATATTTTGAAAGAATAGAACGATTGGATATATTCTTATTAAGTATAAATGACATCGATTTTAAATTGCATATATGTCAACACTGTTTCTGACATTTTTGTAAATACAAAGTACTAGACTACTATGCATGAAGAAAACTTCAATTTCTCTCCACAATTAAGAGAAGTTTGGAGTTTTATTACTGAGAAAAATCCGCTTGAAGTTGTTCATGAGAATTTTTTTTCCTTGCGAAATAACGTATTTTTTGTGGACCTACCTTTCGGTAAAAATGTGTATCGAGAAAGGTAGTCTCACGTAAAATCTGATGGTAAAAATGTGTATCGAGTTTTGAGAAATTTATCGAAAATTACGACATCTAAAATTCAAAATTATGACCAATTAAATCAATATTTTTCATTTCTTATATGCATCGTGCTATTTTTTTAAAAAAATTAGTCATTTTTTGAGTTCACATTTGACTAGTTTTTTTTGAAAATTTTTGTTTGATGTCCAAGGGAGAAACTCACCAAGCCCATTATGACAAATTGATGGAGATTTTTACAGGATATAATGATGCCTCTGATGCTTTGTACCGGCTGAAAACAAATGACGAAGAAAAATTAAACGCAATTTACAACAAAATCAAACAAAACCTGATTGACTCTTATCGAATTCCGCCTGGTGAGATTATCAATAAAATATCTCAACTTTCAATTTATAACAACTGCTTCATGAAGTCATATTTAGCGGTTGTCAAACAAATTGTTGACGAATTCCATCTAAATCAGGTCAACAAAATCAACGACGTTTTTAATTACCTTTTCTACAAAGAATACAATATAGTCTTGAATGAAAATGGGAGAATTTTTTTTAACGAATTTGAAGATTCTCATTATTCATCTGATATTCACGAACAAAATACAATTCACAGATCTATTATGTATGATGACAAAATATCATTTATAAATTTTACAGAAAGAGAAGGATTTGATAAAAATCAAAAATTAAAAAGTGATTTATATCCATATTCAGATGAAGGTATTTCGTTACTTGAATTATGTTGTTATCATGGATCTGTTGATTGTTTTAAGATCTTAATAACGAAATTTCAATCAGAAATCACTCCAGATTGTCTTAGATATTCTTTTTTGAGCGGAAATCCAGACATTATGAATGAATGCTTGAAAGTACAAAAACCAGATTATGAATGCATGAAATATGCAATAATATCACACAATATCGATTTTGTCACATTTTTGATGAATGAACACAATATAAAAATTGATTTAGAATTGTGCTCTAAATACAATAATCTTCAATCATTTTTAGTTTACTTAGATCAAACAAATGATATCAACACATGTTTTGTTCATTCTCCTAATTTCCATCTTTCATCACTTTTAGAATATTTTATTTCAAATGGTGCAGATATCAATGCTAAAGACAAATATGGATGTACCCCTCTTCATTATACAGCCAGTAATAATTGGAAAGAAACTGCAGAAATTCTTATTTCAAATGGTGCAGATATCAATGCTGAAGGCAAATATGGATGTACCCCTCTTCATTATACAGCCAGTAATAATAGTAAAGAAACCGCAGAAATTCTTATTTCAAATGGTGCAGATATCAATGCTAAAACTGAAATCGGATTTACCCCTCTTCATCTAGCAGCCAGAGAAAATAGCAAAGAAACCGCAGAAATTCTTATTTCAAATGGTGCAGATATCAATGCTAAAGATAAAGATGGATTTACCCCTCTTCATTATGCAGCCAAAGAAAATAGCAAAGAAACTGCAGAAATTCTTATTTCAAATGGTGCAGATATCAATGCTGGAGGCAAATATGGATTTACCCCTCTTCATTATGCAGCCGATTATAATAAGAAAGAAATTGCAGAAATTCTTATTTCAAATGGTGCAGATATCAATGCTAAAAACAAAACTGGATTTACCCCTCTTCATCTAGCAGCCAGAGAAAATAGCAAAGAAACCGCAGAAATTCTTATTTCAAATGGTGCAGATATCAATGCTAAAACTGAAATCGGATTTACCCCCTCTTCATTATGCAGCCAGAGAAAATAGCAAAGAAACCGCAGAAATTCTTATTTCAAATGGTGCAGATATCAATGCTGGAGGCAAATATGGATTTACCCCTCTTCATTATGCAGCCGATTATAATAAGAAAGAAATTGCAGAAATTCTTATTTCAAATGGTGCAGATATCAATGCTAAAAACAAAACTGGATTTACCCCTCTTCATCTAGCAGCCAGAGAAAATAGCAAAGAAACCGCAGAAATTCTTATTTCAAATGGTGCAGATATCAATGCTAAAACTGAAATCGGATTTACCCCCTCTTCATTATGCAGCCAGAGAAAATAGCAAAGAAACCGCAGAAATTCTTATTTCAAATGGTGCAGATATCAATGCTGAAGACAAATATGGATGTACCCCTCTTCATTATGCAGCCAGTAATATATGGAAAGAAATTGCAGAAATTCTTATTTCAAATGGTGCAGATATCAATGCTAAAGATAAAGATGGATTTACCCCTCTTCATTATGCAGCCAGGAATAATAAGAAAGAAATTGCAGAAATTCTTGTTTCAAATGGTGCAGATATCAATGCTAAAGATAAAGATGGATTTACCCCTCTTCATTATGCAGCCGATTATAATAAGAAAGAAATTGCAGAAATTCTTATTTCAAATGGTGCAGATATCAATGCTAAAGATAAAGATGGATTTACCCCTCTTCATTATGCAGCCAGTAATATATGGAAAGAAATTGCAGAAATTCTTATTTCAAATGGTGCAGATATCAATGCTAAAGATAAAGATGGATGTACCCCTCTTCATTATGCAGCCAGGAATAATAAGAAAGAAACTGCAGAAATTCTTATTTCAAATGGTGCAGATATCAATGCTAAAGATAAAGATGGATTTACCCCTCTTCATTATGCAGCCGATTATAATAAGAAAGAAATTGCAGAAATTCTTATTTCAAATGGTGCAGATATCAATGCTAAAGATAAAGATGGATTTACCCCTCTTCATTATGCAGCCGATTATAATAAGAAAGAAATTGCAGAAATTCTTATTTCAAATGGTGCAGATATCAATGCTAAAACTGAAATCGGATTTACCCCCTCTTCATCTAGCAGCCAGAGAAAATAGCAAAGAAACCGCAGAAATTCTTATTTCAAATGGTGCAGATATCAATGCTGAAGACAAATATGGATTTACCCCTCTTCATTATGCAGCCGATTATAATAAGAAAGAAATTGCAGAAATTCTTATTTCAAATGGTGCAGATATCAATGCTAAAGATAAAGATGGATTTACCCCTCTTCATTATGCATCCAGTAATAATTGGAAAGAAATCCTTAATTCAAACAAGACAAGACTGTCAAGTTGAATTTCGTAAAGGCAAAGGTTCAAGAGCGAGTCGCCTTATTTTTCATTTATTTATTTATAATAATAAAGACTTATATTTCCAGACTATACTTGTAATCATTGAGAAACATATTTCACACACTTTGTATGATAATTGAATTAATTCAGAAATACTGTCTCAAAATTTTTGAACCATCGACACAATAAATTGAATGACCGCTAGGTTTCATTCAATTAAAAATGGTGCTAAATAATGGGTTATGCAATGTATTGCAAAATATTTTTGATAACTTGTAAAAATAGTGTAATCTTCAGAATACACGATAATATATTATTTGGATACTACATATAGCTACAAATATTATTGCCACTCAAAAAATCACGATATCAATTTTTCTCGAAATCTCGCCTTGAAATGTATATTAATTTTATTAAATATAAGCATTATATTATATGCTAACTGACTTTTTGCAATCGTCCCTATTAAACAAGTATATATATTCCTCCAAAGTTCTTTCAATTTCATTGAATGGGAAGATTAAAAAAAACTATTTCCCATATGAGAGAGCAAAAATCATATGAGTAATCGAAAAATAAGCACAATAAACAATTTGCTTGTTTTCTGGTGAACAAAGAGCCAGAACATCACAACTGTAACATATTGTAGTGTAATTCTCTGTGGGCTAGGAATCCCATATAACCACTTTCTCTATTGAAATTTATTATCATTGGAGATGACGACATTAATTCCGACTAAAAAAAATTTTTTATGAAATGGAAAATAGAATTTTATCATTTTCATGAGTGAATTCCCTTATGACATACTTATGGATTCTACCAAAGAGATTAATGATATTTTTTATAGATTCTATAGGCTTCAAATATCAAATGTAAGCGAGATCGACGTATTTTTCAAAGAAATCGATGATAAATATTATTTTCCTTCCTTCTTTCAATCCATTTCAAACGCAGCAAATGGTAACAATCGATATATTAAGTCCTATTTGACTTTAATTCAAAAAATTTACGAAAATAATTCTTATCTGCACGAAGAACATGTTTCATCTAATGATGCATACCTTCTAGAGAATCATTTTAATATTTAAGTAAACAAGCAATCTAAATCCAAAATCAGTGACTTATTAAAATCAATCATTTATGATGATGCGAAATTTCTTGCTTCTCTCTCAGTAAAACACATATTATCTCGTGAGATCATCAACTCTAATGGCTTTCCGTGTGTAAGAAATCAGTTAAATCTGCTTGAAACGTGTTGTTATTACGGCTCAATTTAATGTTTCAAATATTTGAGAAATCAATTCAAAATACCAATCACAAGAAATTGCTTTGAGCTTTCATTTATATGAGGAAACTCCGACATTATTAAAGAATGTTTGGAATTTCAAAAACTAGATTCTAATTGCATGGTATATGAAATTTTGTCTCACAATAACGATCGAGTTAGATTTTTAATGAATGAACATAATATTCCAATCGATGTCGATCAATGCTTCAAATATGATAATATCCAAGCATTATTTATGCATTATGAACAAACACAAGATATCAAAGAATTCATTGTTAAAACAAGTTATTATCTCTCTTGTGTTTGGGAACCAATTTTTTCTGCATTGTCTGATATTTTTGATGAAAAATACCGAGGACTTCTTAACAGTGCCAAAATAATTGCAGCTTATGAGCGTGATGGATTTTATGATGGAGATGTCAACATCGATGATTATTATGGAAAAACTATTCTTCATTATGTTGCAGAATATTTTCAACAAGTATATGATTTAATACTTGAAAATGAACCAGATCTCGTCTTCGTGCAAGACAAAGAAGGAAAGACGGCTCTTCATTATGCAGTAATTAGTGGTAATATAGATCTCGTAAATGAACTAATCTCTAATGAAAGTGCTAATATATGTGATAAAGAAGGGAGGTTGCCACTTCATTATGCTGCAATAAGTGGTGATGTAAAAATGGCATTAGAAGTCATAGATAAAACAATCAATATAAGGAAAAGGGATAATAATAGGAAGATTCCTCTTCATTATGCTGTAGATGATAGAGAAATGTTCGAAGCCCTAGTTTATGATTATAATACAAGGACCCAGTATTACGAACTAGAAGATGCTTTGGAATGTAAAGCTTCTGCCGATTCATGCATACAGCACTTCATTTGTGATTGGGAGAATGGATTGTGGGAACATGGAGATGACTAATTCCAGAGATTGTAAGCACAAAACTGTAAAATTATACTATCTATTATAATTTTTCGTAGTTTTTAAATAATATCACTATTTTGGTTTCATTTCCATCAATAGATCAAATAGTATTTGAAGTATCAATCATCATCAAAAACTGAAAAGAATATTTCTTTTCGCAGGAAAATAAAATAATGAATTCATTATGTCCAAACATCTAAGAAGAGTCATTCAACATCGACATCCCTGTTCTAAATCCTTATTTTACTATCAGGCCTTGTAACTGGGAAGTTATTATGTCAATTAGGACTTCATTTTTCAGCTCAAACTAAATTGAAAAAAAAAACTTTTTATGATCTGAATAGCATATATTTTGATGACTAATCAAGATTCAATTACCATCAGTGCATGATGGCATTGCCACAATTGGAATGGCAGTATCCAGCCGGAAGATAGTAAAAGGGTATTGCAATTCAAGAATTTTATTGATAAAGTTCTGTTGTGGGCGCAACCCGATCATTATATTCACTAGAATAAGCTCCAATCATTTCCAATTTTAAAAAATAAAAAACAGAATAAAAAAAAATCATTTGAAATCGGGTCGTTATCGATTTTGTAATTTAATCGTTATCGTTATCGATTTTGTAATTTAATCGTTATCGTCTTTTTCTAAACGTGCATTTTCTTCATATTGGGATAATGAACATAACTTGTTCTGAGCTTCCAATGCACAAATCGTTTTTATTCTAAATGGATTCATTCCTACAAGTTTGGCAGAAATCAGTGAATATCATCATATATTGAATTCTTCAATTTGGCAATTTATTTAAAATCGTTCTCAAGAATTCTTATCTTCATGTAGTCAAATAAAACGGAAATGCGAAAACAAACTTTTATTCGATATTACAAAAAAAAAATTATATTGATCGCTAAGATTTAAATACGTATAGTTTAAGTATATGTGGTATCATTATGTGCATATTCTGATATATATACTTGAATGATATCACAAAAATAACAGAAATACAAATCTTGAATTAAATTATATCATAGAATACAATTTTAATAAACGAAAAATCAAACCCTCTCGCAATACAGCCATTTTAAGAGTAGTTCTTTCAAGATCTTCGAAGATTTGGAAGATCTTGGAAGAACTGCCCTCTAAATGGCTGTAGCTTCGGTATTGTTACTATCAAGTAGAAAGTTACGGTAATTACTGCCATTTTAAGAGTAGTTCTTTCAAGATCTTCCAAATCTTCGAAGATCTTGAAAAAACTGCTCTCTAAATGGCAGTAGTTTCGATGTTAACATGATAATATGAGTGAAATTTTCTTATTTGAAGTCGGTTAAAGAGCAGTTCTTTCAAGTTCCTTCAAATCAGGAAGGGTCTTGACAGAACTGTCCTCTTATTGATTGGAATACCGGTATTTTACGTTGGTAAATGCTTGATTTGAATTGGGGGCTGAGTGTTGGAGAAAAAAAAACATGAAAAAAATAAAAAGTGCCAAAATAAAAGAATTCAATCTACATATATATAGTATTTCTAGGCCTGTCCAAACTTTTAAAAAAGCTTACCACGTGGAAGGAAGAGACCAAAAAAATCGTGCCTCGGCGGCTTCGCCGCCTCGGCACTAAAAACAGCATATCATATTTAATATGTCCTTTTTTCTTTTTCTCTTTTCCTCTTTCTCTCTCCTTCTTTTCTTTCTTCTCACTTTCTTTTTGGAGCTGCTTTACTTTGAAATCTCTCATCAATTGATGAGAGAAATAATAGTAAAGTAGCTTCAATGTAAATACGTACATTGATTGGGTTATGGTTAGCGGTAATGTCTGTATGTAGTTCGATTGGAGCTGCCTCACTCTGAGATCTCTCATCAAATGAAGAGAGTTCTCAGAGTGAGGCAGCTCCAATGTATATGTGCGTATTGATTGGGTTGCTGTAAGAAGCAGTGCTTGTGTGTAGTTCGATTGGAACTGCTTTACTCTGAGATCTGTCATCAATCGATGAGAGTTCTCAGAGTAAAACTGTTCCAATGTGTAATCTTGTGCTAGCTTGTCTGTTCGATTGGAACTGCTTTACTCTGAGTTCTCTCATCAATTGATGAGAGAAATAAGAGCAAAGTAGCTCCAATGTATATATGTGTATTGATTCGGTTTGGTTAGCTGGACTGTCTGTGAGTAGTTCGATTGGAACTGCCTCATTCTGAGATCTCTCATCAATAGATGAGAGAAATAAGAGTAAGGCAGTTCCAATGTATATAATCGTATTGATTTGGTTGCTTTAAGTTGGAGTGTTTGTGCGTAGTTCGGTTAGAACTGCTTTGCTCTGAGAACTCTCATCGATTGATGAGAGTTCTCAGAGCAAAGCAGCTCCAATGTGTAAATTTGTATTAGTTCGGGTGAAAGAAGTTGTAGTGCTGGTGCGTAGTTTGACTATCAAGAAGCTCGCGATTCAAAACTCATCAAATGAAAAGTTTATAGTGGGCTTCTTGATAATATGTTAAAGGTGATGTTCTTGTTCGAGTTGTAACAAGAAGGAATACATGAGTACGTAAGCTCGGCATTCGCCGAGCGAATTAAAGATAACGGACGAATTTAATTTATTTTATTTCAAAATTTAAAATTTTAATATTTAATTATATAAATTAAAATAAACATTTTTACAAATTTTTATAAAAAAATATGTGACATATCGTTTTACCACAATTCAAAATAATTAATGTTGATAAATGTATTTAATATGTAATATTAAACATATTTTGCGCGAGAAGTGAGTTGTGGTAACTTTCGTGGATATCCATCGTTCATTTTATGGTAAAAATTCTCAATTTGTGGGAAAAGTTCTCAATTTTGTGGTAATTTTTATGTACCACAACTCAATTTGTGGTCACTTCATCTTACCACGTGGTAAGTTTTTATAAAACTCTTTATTTACCATTGATTTCTGATTTAATATCAATATCTTGAATAATCAAGCATATCTATCGCTTTAAATTTTATTCTCTAATTCCAAAAAAAATTCAAAAATCAAAAAATGAAAAAAATATTTAGAATTTTTTCCGTCAAAAATAAAAAATGTTCCCACTGAGTGGTTTCCATGGAAAGTTACCACTGGGCCACAGGGATTGGCCTAAGTATTTCTTAATAGAATGTGAAATAAAGTAAAATTAACTATATTCAAAATGGAAAAAAATCCAAAAAAATTTTGAAAAAAAGAATTTCATGATAAAAAGCATAAATTTTGCATCAGAAAATTAAATTCAGGTATTTTTTTGAAATAGAAAGAGTCCTAAAATTAGTTAAAAATCATTTTTTATTCAAAAGAAACGCTATTTTTAAGGAATTGAAAAGAATTTTATTTAATAATATTTTATTTATAGAATTTGCATATATCATATGCATAGACATATTGAATTGTAAACATGAGAACACTAATTACATTAACTTGTCGTTCAAATTATTGCATCGAGAAAAAGTGCTATAAATTTACTCAATTAGTTTACAACGTAAATATTTGGCATCAACTTTACGTTTGTAAACTAATTTGGTAAACTCGTAGTTCAAATTATTGCATCGAGAAAAAAGTGCTATAAATTTACTCAATTAGTTTACAAACGTAAATATTTGGCATCAACTTTACGTTTGTAAACTAATTTGGTAAACTCGTAGTTCAAATTATTGCATCGAGAAAAAAGTGCTATAAATTTACTCAATTAGTTTACAAACGTAAATATTTGGCATCAACTTTACGTTTGTAAACTAATTTGGTAAACTCGTAGTTCAAATTATTGCATCGAGAAAAAAAGTGCTATAAATTTACTCAATTAGTTTACAAACGTAAATATTTGGCATCAACTTTACGTTTGTAAACTAATTTGGTAAACTCGTAGTTCAAATTATTGCATCGAGAAAAAAAGTGCTATAAATTTACTCAATTAGTTTACAAACGTAAATATTTGGCATAAACTTTACGTTTGTAAACCAATTTGATTAAATTTAGTAAATTTTAGTTCGAATGCAAGTTTTCTCGGTAAATCATTTTTTAGACCTCAAATGAGATGTATGATCATATGAGTCACATATGATTTAATCCGAATATGTGTGAGAATTGAGTTTAAAACGAAGTTTATTTTTTGGACTATATTTCGCCATTTTAAAATGTGTAATAATGATATAATTCGCATGAAATTGAAAAATATTGACTGGATGTGTAATGGTTTTATAATTGCAATGTTGATTTGATCGAATTTAAATGAATATATAACGCGATGAAATTTCGAATTGCTCAAATGTCTGTAATTCATATATGGTGCACATATTAATATTACATTTCGTTGATATTTACCACATAAACCTTTAAATATTAAGTCATTTTAAAGTTATATGCGATTTAGTTCCAAAATGCACGTTTAGAAAAAGACGATAACAATTAAATTACAAAATCGATAACGATAACGATTAAATTACAAAATCGATAACGATAACGATTAAATTACAAAATCGATAACGACCCTTTGAAATCTAATTGAATACTATTTAGGCTTTTTAAAAATTGACAATTTTTAAAAATTACCGTCTAGAACATCTTATGAAGACGTTTATCCTTTAAAATTTTCATTAGAAATTTTTTTTGCAATTGTATTTTTTTTTGAATTCTCACAAAATTGAAAAAAGCAATTGAAATTTAACGATTCAATTTGAAATTTTCCGCTCACCAAAAAATAAGTTATATTTCATATATAGCGACTTGTTGATTATATTTAAGATCATCTCAAAATTCATCGTCATTCAATCTTTTTTCAGTTCATTTTGCTATGGACCGCCGCGCCCATCCTGGTGTTAAAAATGAAAAATACTCATCCTTTTATAAAGTTCGCTTCGGAGATATCAAGATCAAATGGGAAGGAGAAATTAGAGATTCTTTTTCACTCATTAATTTTGTTAATGAACATATAGACGAATGGAAGAAAGATGACCGTCCATCAATCTGGATTAAACTTCATGGCAAAGACCTTGATCACATTAATGTTTTGTTAAACGCAGGATTCAAAATTCATAGAACTAAACCAAACAATGTACTCGTTCTTAACAAATGGATTCGCGAGTATTCGAATACTCTTCCATTACCACCATTCGCTTACTTAGGAGTTGGCGCCATGTGCATTAATAAGGAAGGAAAGATTTTGGCCGTGCGCGAAAATTACAAGACAGGTCCATCAATCTGGAAATTACCAGGTGGACTTTATGACCCATCCAAAGATCACAAGCTTTCTGATACAGCTGTTCGCGAATGTTTTGAAGAAACAAGTATCAAAGCCGAACCAGAATATTTAGTCAATTCACGCTTCATTCACAAAGGTGGAACATTCAGCGCCCCTGATTTATATACAGTATTCAGACTTCGTCCTTTAACCGAAGAAATTAAATTTGATCCAGTAGAAATCTACGAAGCAGCTTGGGTAAATCCACAAGTATTGATAGATGCTGGCTATAACCAGATTGTCTGGGCTGTTCAATCACAAATGAAGAATCAAGAAGGATTGGTAGAAATTCCAACCAGATTCAGAAATTCCGACCATATTGTTTATACAAGAAAACCAGAGGATAGTAATTAAACTACTAAATTTTTAAAATTTATAATTTTATTATTTCTCCTTTTAAGCGTTTTATATTTAATTGCCTTTTTCTCAAAACGTTTAGGTCAAACTCCACCAAACTTCGCAAAGTACATTGCATTTGTTTCATCATATTCTCTGCCAAGTTTAGGCTCCAAAGGATCAAGGGGGAAAATACTAAAGTACCTTAAAGCAAACTGAAATATAATGATCATGGTCTTGAAATCAAATTTTGATTTTATAATTTTTGGATTTTCACCAATGTTTATGCGTAACTTATATTGAACTTTCAATGCACATTCTATTTTTCACTAAATTTTGTATTCTATATGTTTACGTTTAGATTTTTTTTCTTCCTAAATTTTTTTGTACTCCTTTTTTTCATGTCTGTAATTGACGAAGAACTTTTACGGAAATATTATAGTGACAAATTCCCACTTGAGGACATCAAACAATGGATAAGTTACGGTGGAAACGAACCACTCGAAAATCGCGAGTGTGGTTTCTTCTTTGATGACGAGAAATTCATGAGATGGCAAACAGTAGACGTTCTCAGAAGATTAGCTTTAGCAAATCCACCTCAACGTATGGAAATCGGACCTGTTTACACACATCCAATCGCAATTCGTCAACAACAGTCACCTGGAGAATTCCGTCCAAAGTCAAAAGAATTAATATTCGATCTTGATGCTGATGATTTCAAAGACATTAAATGCTGTTGCGGCGATTCCGAAATTTGCGAAAAATGCTGGCCTTATATGCACTGCGCTATCGACTGTCTTACAACAATTCTTCGCACAAACTTCGGCTTCAAGAAGATTTTCCCTGTTTTTTCAGGTCGTCGTGGTATTCACATTTGGGTTTGTGATAAGAAGGCAAGAGAACTTTCTGCTGCTGTTCGTGACAAGATAGTTCATTACTTGAACCTCAAAGAAATTACAGAAATGGATAATTTCCTTCTAAACGCAAGTCCTTTACTTAAACAAATGCTCCCATCATGCGAAAAGTACTTCTGCAAGATTTATCGTACACAAAACATCTTCAAGAATCAAAAAACATCAGAAAGAGCATACAAACTTCTCGGATCAGAAACAATTAAACAAATTAATAAAATTATCGATTCTACACATGGAACAGACGAAGAAAGATGGGAATCAGTCAAAACAATGGCATTCAAGGGCAAGACTTTTGCAGAATCTGATCAATATAAGAGACTTATTGTATTTTATTCTTTCCCACGTTTGGATGAAAACGTTACAAAAGGTATGAACCACCTTCTTAAGAGTCCATTTTCTGTCCATCCAAAATCAGGTTTTATCTCTGTTCCAATTCCTCCAGAAAAATACGAATTACTTCCGCAAACATGGGTTCCTTCCTTCGAGAAACTCATGAAAAATGAACCAGAAGCAGTTCAAGTGTTTGAGGAATCCAAGAGATTGTTGAAAGAACATGCTTCTAAGCCTGATGAATAAGATAAAGATATTAATTAATAAATTTTATTTAGATTTGTAGCATAAATGAATATTTTTTGTTAATCAATGCACATTTTAATGATAAATTCATCTAAATATCAAACATTGATATAAATTCCTTCGATTACTTTTTAGATTTCTTCATACAAACATTTGATAGACTTCTTATCTCGAAATATTTTATTATGAAAGAATATGAATCATGATTTACATGAAACATGCAAATAATATGATATTACAATATTTTTTTTTCATACACAAGTTAATAATTATCAAGCATATCCCATTTACCTATGACAATAATAGCTGTTTATTCATTGATAAACTTATATGACCAATTCGTCATGAGATCTACCTGATCTAATTAGATTTAGCTGATAATAATCAAGGCCCATAGTTTATTAGTATGATATAGAATCATTCACATTCAAAATTCATAATAATCGCTCTAAATTTCAAAATAATTTTAAAATTTTCAAGATTTAAAAGATTTAATTCGATGAGGATATATTAGAAAGAATATTTTTGAATAAATATGAAGAATATAACATAAATATTTACAAAGAAAGTTATAAATTATGTTGAGAACCAAAATCCGGTAACGATGTGTCCTATGACAGATCTGTGGAGTAAAGGTTTAACGAGAAATACAGAGAAAGCGAGGAAAACGACTGTGACGTAAATCTTTGTTGGAAGAATTGCCCAAGAGACGAAAACGAGGAAAGAAGCCTGGAACAGTGAAGCAGACTTCCTCGGATCCTGCCACATGAACCATTCGTTGAAGAATTTGAGGACTTTGTACGTTCCTTCGACAGGATGTCCTTTCCATTGAGCATCAGCGTCCACGTAGTCATCATCATCGGTACGGTCCTTCTTTATGTTGATCCAGGCTGAAATAATTTGGATTCCGATGATTACTAATGCTGTCAACGGGAAAAATGGTATAAACTTGAGTAAAAACGATACTAATGAGACAATGAATAATATCCGAAGCTTAATATGTATATCGAAGTTAGTTTGGTTGAACTTTTCTCCGATCTTTTGTACTGGTGACAAAAGTTCAATTACTGGCTCTGCTCTTGGGTCATCTGCTTCTTCTGCCTTGACGATCTTTTGTGGTGCATTGACTTCGAGCTTTGCTGAATTGTCAACTTCAGATAAATCACATTCAATCGAAGCAAAAGGAGTTTCATCCAAATTCTGTGCGGTAGCTAGATCGTATGTAGCTTTTCTGTAAGCTTCTTCGTCTGCTCTTATTGCTTCACAAAGCTTTCTAAGAGAATTAAAACATTGATAAAGAGCCTTAACAGTTGGGAACTTAAAATTAGCAGCAGCACTACTTGTATCAGATATTGAAATCATTAAATCGTTTCTATTGCCGCTCAAACAACGCAAATTACTGAATTGAGCTTGAATCAACTGTGGATGAGGAATTGTATTCTTTGGTAGGAAGACAATGCGTCTTGTTGTAAGATAGAGAACACCCTTGACTGTGTTTGTTGTTTCTCCTTCTTGAAAAGCGAACGAAACTTCGGCAAATGAAGTAATTACTGCTTCTTTGCGAATATGACCGCCAAAAACTAAAACAGCTTGGCGAATTCCATCATACTCAGGACCAGCCCACTTCTGCCAAACTGATTCAGGGAGATCATATGCTGTAGACTTCGTCATTTTGTCACTTTTTTATGATCTAAATAAAAAAATTTTGTAGATTCATCATTATTTTCTATGGTAATATATGGTATTTTAACTGTATATGCATTGATATGAATATAATATAGTGATAGATACTTGTCTTGATTGTAAAATTGCTTCAAAATAGATTCATTTTGAGCAAATATTGTCATTATTATTTAAATGTTTGATTTAATCTTTGCTATTGCAAATTTAACTAATAAATTGGCCATATAAGACCATTATATAACACGAATTTACACTAATTCACTATAAATTTAAATTGAACGGTGTGCGTTTTGAACTATAAACCAGTTTCTACTAAATATATATTTTAATACAATAGTGTAATTGTATATCCTAATCATATAGTTTATATATTGAGTTTGAATTTTATCAAATTTTAAATATTATCAATTATCTAAGAGAATCAATATTACTTATTAATGTATTTTAATAATCAAGTGTTTAAAGGTATCAAATCTAGAAATTAAAAAAATTATTTTGAGATTATTAAAGAAAAACGAGTTTGGTATCATGTAATAAGAAAATACAATTTATTTAGAAGATGATAAAAGCATTGATAATGCTTGAAGATTCTTCCTCTGTGAATTTTGATTATTAATTGCAGATTGAGGCTGAGGAGGTGGTGGAGGAGGTGGATTCTGTGGTGGAATTGGAGCCATTGGTGGTGGTGGTGGTTTGTAACCAGGTGGTGGCTGATTAGGAACTGGAGCTGGCGGAGGAGGCATATAACCAGGCGGAGGTTGTCCGTACGGCTGACCAGGAGGTGGAGGAGGTGCTTGTCCGTATGGTGGTGGGTAGGTTGGGGGCGCTCCGTAATGATTTTGAGGTGGAGGAGGGTTCTGTTGTCCGTAAGCGGGCGGAGGAGGCTGCTGGCCGTACGGAGGTTGCGGATATCCAGGGTACTGTGGGTATCCGTACGGTGGTGGCTGGTAGTAAGGTACATTCGGTGGATATTGAGGAGGATATTGTTGATATTGTCCGTATTGAGGTTGTTGTTGAGATGGAGGTTGATTATAACGATTGTTATGATCATTCCTTCTTCCATTTCCTCTGTTATCACGGTCATGATTACGTTTAAAATTATCACGCGAATCAGAACGTTTGTTATTAAAATGTATGGGCTCTGGCTCTTCCTGCTCGAGTCCATCATCTTCTCCTGGCTTCAATTCGACTTTGCAAGGCTCTCCACCTAAGATAATCGGATCCTTGCATTCGATTGCCTTTACAGGAGATCTTAAATCATAGTATTTAACCACATATATCTTATCGCTTTCCTTACGAATTTGCAGAATATCTCCGAAGGCCGAGAAAACGCTTCGGACCTCATCTTCACTTACATCTGCAGAAGAAGGTTGTAGTTGTATGCTCACTGTTGCACACAGAGGATCTTTACGCTGTCTTTTAGCCTTATACGCATAATTCATTCTTACTAACCTATTGTTTAACGTTTCTTTTCTATCTTGTTCAACTGCTGCAATTGCTGATCTAAGATCATAGTAAGTCACAAAATAATTACCTTTCTCACGCTTTTCATATATGTTTTGTACATCACCAAATTTCTCAACAAATTTTTGAAACACATTTTGATCAATTTTGAATGGAATACTGAAAAAGAATACAGTATGCACAGGTACAATATTATTTTCCTGAAACTGTTGGCCACCCCTCATATAGTATTGGGCCTTCTTCTCAGAAGGAGGAACCTGAAGAGGAAATGTGGCTTTAGTTGAAGATTGAGGAGTAGATACAGCGGGAAGAGGTTCATTATATGGCTCGTCCTGTTGATCTTCAACTTGAGGATGGCCTGTCTCAGGTTCATCTTGTGAACTTGAGTCACTCATGGCTAAAAATTGTCACGTTTTATTTCGATTTCGTATTTTTTTTTGAGAAAGGGACAGACTAGCACATTGTCACTTTTTAATTTAGCAAATGAACGCTGATGGAGTGGAGTTTTTGGGTAAATCTGATTTGCTTATAAATGAAATAAAATCAAACGAAACCATATTGGCATTATATTATGCAAAAATAAATGATCTTACTTAGTACTTTTAAAGTTAATTTCAGAAAAAATTTGACACAATGGTATCCGGCACATACAAGTGGTGTACAACCAAAATATAAGTTGGTTTAAACATATATTGCTATATCTCATGATCTTACTTAGTACTTTTAAAGTTAATTTCAGAAAAAATTTGACACAATGGTATCCGGCACATACAAGTGGTGTACAACCAAAATTTCATATCCCTAGTTTTACATTTATGTTTAGTTTTATTTCACCTAATTTTCAAAGATCATAATTGAATTAGATGGCCAAGCTATTCAAAACACGACCAAGCTTATCAAAATAAGACCAATATATTCAAAATTCTTTATTCTTTCAAATCATTTCATTTTAATGCAGATTCAAGATCACGAACTCACATATATCGAGTTGCTTAAGTATCGAGTGCAACAAGAAATCCAAGCAGATTGTAGTTATTCATATAAAACTAGGAAAGAAAGAAATCAAATCCAATTTAATTGTAAGTGGCCGAATTGTCCATGTCGCTTCCTTGTTGATACACTTCCCGATGACAAGTACCACATACGAAAATGTATTAACACCCACAATCATTCTGCCCCTTTTCCAAACAAATCACAACAAATTACATCATATTTTTATAGATCTTATTTAACAAGATATTTTGAATCAAATCAAGACCGTGTTTACGCACAATTAAGGTGTTTCAAAGATCTTAATATCCCATTTGATAGTGGGATCATTCCGGAAATGTTTCAACAATCTACAGATGCTTTAAAAAAGTTTTCTAAACGCCTTCATGCAATCAATACCCGTTTCTCAGCGGATGATGTTACATCTCTTGCAATTTTTGTCGACATGGTTAAGAGTCATTCTCCGGATGATCTCATCGAGTTTATTCACGAGCCAGATCGTATGATTTTCTATTACGCCCCATTCGAAGCAAATGCTTTTTCACATCAAATACAAACTTATCACATTGATTCCACTTATAAGCTCTTGCGCTCTCGCATACCATTTTATGCCGTCACTGGCAAATTCGCGGAATCAATTGTTTTTCCGTTTTTGTATTTTTTCGTTTGGCCCGACACAAGTGAAAATATACAAGTTTGTCTCACAGCATATTTTGGCTCCATCAATCGCGAACCATCTTATTTTTCAATGGACTGCGCACCTCAAATCACAAATGCTGTTGAAACAGCCATCCCCTTATGCCAGATCATTTGGTGTGGCGTTCATGTGTTGCGCGCTGTCATGAGAAAGGCTGAAAAGTTTCAAGATCGTTCCAACTTCGAAACTTTCTATAACTTAATGAAGTTATTGGTCTTTGGTTCTGAAGAGGAAGAAATTGATCCTGATGAAGTTTACAACAATTTAGAAGAAATTTTAAATGAGGAACCTGCTGCCCGTGAATACTTTGACCGACAGTGGCGCCATCATCTTGACATGTGGATGCTTCGCTATAGAAATGAAGGAGATGGAACAAACAACATCTCGGAATCACATTTCAAGGTTTTGAAGCACCAGTACTTCCCAGAAAGGCGAAATCTTCGACTCGATGAACTTGTCATCGAGTTATATTCCAGTGTTGTTCCTTCATTCCTGATTAAGTTGCAAATTAAAGGTCTGGATTCAGAGAGAAGTGTTAAAGTTATCAAAAAAGTCACAAGAGATTTCGAAGAAATGACACAATTTAAAAAAGTCGAATGCATCAGTATGCTTGAAGCTGTTCAGAAAGGTCTGAAAAATGATACACTTGATCCCAACATTGTTTACTCAACATTAAAAATATTATTGCAAAGAAAACATTTGATTTAATAAACATTTAATTTATTATAATTAATTTTTTATTACAGTATAGTAAAAAATGCTATAAATAAATTATTATATTTTATTAAAATGTGACTTTTAATAGTAAGTGAATAGAATAAATCAGGAATTGGGAAAGAAATAAGGTTAATTAAAAATAATGAAAATTACAAGTTTAAGGTTAATGAAAAGTGACAATGGGTGAGTTTGTCCCCCACTCTTTTTTTTTGCCACCAGTCCCTTCATCTTTATAAAAGAAGCGTGCTAACATATATTAATTTTCTGCCTAATGTATACTATTTTCGTAAGAACGTCCGAAATTAAACAAGAGATCTGCCTACTGGTTCCAACAGATCGTTAGACCTCACTTCACTCATTTCACTTTTTTGGTGAAGAGGTGGAAATAGCATTATAATTGAATATATTCAATACTTCTGACTGTAATAAACAGAAATTCATCAAAAGTGACAGCTCTCAATTTTTTGACATTTGTAAATTCTAAATTGAATGAGAAAAATGAAATAATACTAAGCATAATACAATATTCTAGATTTAATTATAATTAGGAAAAAGTTAGTTTTGAGAGTACTTTTCATAGGCATATAGAATGAAATCTTCTGAAAAATAATATCACATAAACTCATATTATTTTCTAATATATAACTATTTTATATAAAAATCAAATTCAATGATCTTAAAAGCGAAGGATAAACCTCAAAATTTACGAATATAATGAGTGGGAATATAATGCTTATCTATCATAAAACCATATGAAATATCAATTTTTGCTTTACGCCTAATTTTTGACGACAATTAGCAAAAAATGTTAAATGTTAACACTCAGTCCATTTGAATATGAAAAATAAAATTGACTTTGATTAAATGTTTTTATTTATCATGCAATTCTTCTTGCGACCAAAGATTTGAATAAAAGTTCAAAAAATAAGATAGCTTAAAAAATAATATACGGTAGTGTTTACTAATAGATGAATAGTATATAAATTCTATTAAAATGGATTTGATCCAAAAAAATATATAAAATTTGATCATAAATAAAATCGTTTTAAATTACTTCTTCATTTAAATTATAACAATTATTTTTGGTTTTATATTTTTTTGGATCAAATCCATTTTAATAGAATTTATATACTATTCATCTATTAGTAAACACTACCGTATATTATTTTTTAAGCTATCTTATTTTTTGAACTTTTATTCAAATCTTTGGTCGCAAGAAGAATTGCATGATAAATAAAAACATTTAATCAAAGTCAATTTTATTTTTCATATTCAAATGGACTGAGTGTTAACATTTAACATTTTTTGCTAATTGTCGTCAAAAATTAGGCGTAAAGCAAAAATTGATATTTCATATGGTTTTATGATAGATAAGCATTATATTCCCACTCATTATATTCGTAAATTTTGAGGTTTATCCTTCGCTTTTAAGATCATTGAATTTGATTTTTATATAAAATAGTTATATATTAGAAAATAATATGAGTTTATGTGATATTATTTTTCAGAAGATTTTGTGTTCTTCTTCAAAATTTTATTTTTTTATTAAAAAGAATCTTTACAAAATATACATTTACTTTAATTAATATTTAAAAACGTGCTCTATCAAAAGTTCCAAAAATTCAATATTTTAGCTTTTCTGATGTGTCGCTTTTGATGAATTTCTGTTTACAACATGACTTCTATTTCTTTTATAATTACTGTTAATAGAAAACATATTAATCATAAACGATAAATATAACAAAATAAATTGTATCCGGTCCTTTAAAATCTATTGTTTAATAGAGCGAAATATAAATATAAGGATGTAATTGATAGATGGAAAAAATATAATGATATATTTTCATTTATGAGCCTACTATTTCGATTTCATGAATCGGAAATACATATATATATATGGGAATTTATATAAATATGCAGAATTTACACATATGAAAAATAAAATTAATCGAATTTTTGTAGGAGAAAGGGACAGACTAGCCCATTGTCACTTTTTAATTTAGCAAATGAACGCTGATGGAGTGGAGTTTTTGGGTAAATCTGATTTGCTTATAAATGAAATAAAATCAAACGAAACCATATTGGCATTATATTATGCAAAAATAAATGATCTTACTTAGTACTTTTAAAGTTAATTTCAGAAAAAATTTGACACAATGGTATCCGGCACATACAAGTGGTGTACAACCAAAATATAAGTTGGTTTAAACATATATTGCTATATCTCATGATCTTACTTAGTACTTTTAAAGTTAATTTCAGAAAAAATTTGACACAATGGTATCCGGCACATACAAGTGGTGTACAACCAAAATATAAGTTGGTTTAAACATATATTGCTATATCTCATGATCTTACTTAGTACTTTTAAAGTTAATTTCAGAAAAAATTTGACACAATGGTATCCGGCACATACAAGTGGTGTACAACCAAAATATAAGTTGGTTTAAACATATATTGCTATATCTCATGATCTTACTTAGTACTTTTAAAGTTAATTTCAGAAAAAATTTGACACAATGGTATCCGGCACATACAAGTGGTGTACAACCAAAATATAAGTTAGTTTAAACATATATTGCTATATCTCATGATCTTACTTAGTACTTTTAAAGTTAATTTCAGAAAAAATTTGACACAATGGTATCCGGCACATACAAGTGGTGTACAACCAAAATATAAGTTGGTTTAAACATATATTGCTATATCTCATGATCTTACTTAGTACTTTTAAAGTTAATTTCAGAAAAAATTTGACACAATGGTATCCGGCACATACAAGTGGTGTACAACCAAAATATAAGTTAGTTTAAACATATATTGCTATATCTCATGATCTTACTTTTTTTAAAGTTAATTTCAGAAAAAATTTGACACAATGGTATCCGGCACATACAAGTGGTGTACAACCAAAATATAAGTTGGTTTAAACATATATTGCTATATCTCATGATCTTACTTAGTACTTTTAAAGTTAATTTCAGAAAAAATTTGACACAATGGTATCCGGCACATACAAGTGGTGTACAACCAAAATATAAGTTGGTTTAAACATATATTGCTATATCTCATGATCTTACTTAGTACTTTTAAAGTTAATTTCAGAAAAAATTTGACACAATGGTATCCGGCACATACAAGTGGTGTACAACCAAATCTTCGACTCGATGAACTTGTCATCGAGTTATATTCCAGTGTTGTTCCTTCATTCCTGATTAAGTTGCAAATTAAAGGTCTGGATTCAGAGAGAAGTGTTAAAGTTATCAAAAAAGTCACAAGAGATTTCGAAGAAATGACACAATTTAAAAAAGTCGAATGCATCAGTATGCTTGAAGCTGTTCAGAAAGGTCTGAAAAATGATACACTTGATCCCAACATTGTTTACTCAGCATTAAAAATATTATTGCAAAGAAAATATTTGATTTAATAAACATTTAATTTATTATAATTAATTTTTTATTACAGTATAGTAAAAAATGCTATAAATAGATTATTATATTTTATTAAAATGTGACTTTTAATAGTAAGTGAATAAAATGAGTGGGGGACAAACTCGCCCGTTGTCACTTTTTCATTAACCTTAAACTTGTAATTTTCATTATTTTTAATTAACCTTATTTCTTTCCCAATTCCTGATTTATTTTATTCACTTACTATTAAAAGTCACATTTTAATAAAATATAATAATTTATTTATAGCATTTTTTACTATACTGTAATAAAAAATTAATTATAATAAATTAAATGTTTATTAAATCAAATGTTTTCTTTGCAATAATATTTTTAATGTTGAGTAAACAATGTTGGGATCAAGTGTATCATTTTTCAGACCTTTCTGAACAGCTTCAAGCATACTGATGCATTCGACTTTTTTAAATTGTGTCATTTCTTCGAAATCTCTTGTGACTTTTTTGATAACTTTAACACTTCTCTCTGAATCCAAGTTAGTATACAAGTCTTGGGTATGGTGGCACTGCGTTCCACCTTACCCAATACTTGTGAATTTGACACTTTACAAAACCGTTAACGTATATTTTACAACATGAACGCAAAAACTAATTTAACCTTAAATATTTACAAAGCCGCCAACCACTTCACTAACGAACTCACTAATGTAAAAAATAAACGTTCTCACTATCGTTCTCACTAACGACTTCACTAATGTTCTCATAAATTTTCCTCAATATCTTCATCATCAGTGTTAACCCTATTGTAGTCATACTTGAAGCCATAAACTTTCTCTAACTTCTTAACGTACAATTTACATAACTTACCTTCGTCATCGTATGGTTTAATGATATAACTATTTCTATCTTTATACACAGTCAATGAAAAGTCAACTGGTCTCGGATGTATTTGAAAGAACATGTTATGCTCAGGAAGGAAGAATAAATGTTTAAATGTATGTTTGTTATACTGTGGAATTCGAATGAGTTGCTTTTGTTCTGTCATTTACATCCAAATAAAAAATTTCAGTAAACTTAAAAATAAAATAAAAAATTAATGATATCACCACCCGCACACGTATGAAAACATAGCACAAAAATAAATTTAGGTAGAAGGTTAGATCTAACCCGATATCTAACCTCTTTTCTAACCTGTTGAATTCATTGCTTTATAACTCACTGTCGTCTGCTTTATCCAACTCTTCTAACTTCTTCCTAAGTTCAGCAATGTTGTCCTCATGAAGTTTAATCTTTCTCAAAATACCTTCTCTATCTAATGGTTGCTTTATCTTTCTAAACTGAACTCTACCATCCTTCATAGTATGAATGTAAAAACCTTCTGGAATAGTTCCTGATTTAATGTATTCTACCAAAAACTTTTGTTTCATTGCTTCAGTGACTTTAGTCGTCATTTCAATCAAATAAAAATTTTAATATTAAATAAAAATAACGTTATTTTTTCAGTAAGGAAACGCAGGAGTTTTACGATTTATTTGAGGAGTAGGTTCTGGTTTAAATGTTGGAGTCGGTTTAGGAGTTGACTTTT